CATCACATAAAGAATACTTTAGGGTATCTAGTCCGTCATTTGCAGATGAGAACACTGAGCCCCAGAGAGGTGAGGTAATTTCTCCAGAATCATCCATCCAGGATGCACTCCTGCTGTGTTGGAAGCGGAGTGATATTGTGTGTGTGACATGAAGTCTGTCCCAGGAAGCTTCAGAGAGGTGCCAGTGCCCCTCCAATTCCCAAGGGCCATGTGGACAAGGCCTGGGCACCGCACAGCCCCACACAGGCCAGACACCGCTTACATCTTCCCGCAGGCTGGCAGTTCTCCCTCTGGACGGTCTGGACTGATGAGACGCTGGGTGGGGGTGGCAGCCGCAGACACGGAGCTGCTCTGTCTCCCTCCTGCACCTCTGTTAGCATCTGAAGCCAGTCCCAAGGCGCTGGGGCAGTGCCGCCAAGCAGACCATGTAGTCAGGATGTTGGGAAGGAGATTTCACTGACACTAGCTGAGAAGAAAGTGGATTTGAGATAGAAAGAGGGAAACAGAAAAGCAATTAAGTGAACCAAGCTAATTACAGGCTGGGAGAGTGGGTGGCCAGAGGAGGCTGTTTCTAACTGTCCTGGGATGTGCCAGGCTCACCCGGCCTCTGGCGCCAGGCTCCGGCTGGCGTGTCCTGCAGGATGCAACTGGGCCCCAGGCTGCTTTTCTGGCCTTGCTCCCAGCCCGATGCTGTAAAGCTCTACCGATGTTTGCACATGAGTAATTGACAAATTATAATCAGCAGGACCCTGTGAATATCCCTTCCCGGCGCATAATGTCAGGCTGCTTTCTGCTCACCCAGCAACTGGCTCCAGACGAGCTGAAGGGACTCTCAGAAGTGTGGTTCATTACTCACCACGAGTCAAGGTGGGATAGTGCATGATAGGGTCATTCGCAAGACCGGGAAACCAAGATGCTGGTGCCTGCAGTGGGTTAAAGCCGCCTCGTGGAGGGTGCAAAGCTGGGTGCTGGGGTCCCCCCAGGCAGGCCAGTTCGTGCTGAACAACAGGCAGCCCCGCGAGGTGGTGGCTCTCACTCTCCCAGGTGGCGAAAGCTGCTGTCTGGGGTGCTGCCCGTCACCTTGGCAATAGAAACATGTGGCTCTTACAGGACTTAAGATCCCAGAATTGTAACTGCCACACCTTCTGAAATCTGCTATCTCTCTTTTCCCAGCCTTCATTTCGCCATTTGTAAGTTGTGGGAGAAAAAATTAGACTTTTCTCCTTGGAGACTGGTATGTGAAGGGTGGTCAAGAAATACAGTAAATGTTTACATTTTTAAAGTGTGCAACAGTAAGGCGCACGGCCACGAAGTCCCCTCAAGAGGCTCCCCCTTGCTTCACACAAACTTACCCCACCGTTTTTGCCGCTGTCTGAAGCGGTTCTGGAGTCCTTTCTGGGAAATGTCTTCAGATGGTTGCTGTAACATCTTCAATCAACCCAAAGCTTCACCTCTCCTGGTTCTTGACTTGGGGGACGAGCCCTAAGCCCCATGATGCCTGATCCAGTGAGCAGGCGGATGAAGGCACTGCAGAGGCTCCACAGCCTGTCTGTCTGATGGGTTCCACTTGGCACCCGTGTTCACTGTGTTTTTTTCCCACCTCATAACGACACTCGTGAAAGAACAATTCCAGAACTGTTTCAGAAAGTAGTAAGCGTGATGAGGCAAGTGTGTTTGAAGTGAGGGGAGGGTTTTGAGGGAGGAATCATGGTGATGTGTCTTTTTCTCTAATACATTTTTTAAGAATTTAAACATTCACAGTACATTTTGCTCATCCCCTGTATGTGATCCACAACTCTTGTACCCAGTACTGGGACTGACCTTTTAAGTTTCTGTTTTTAACTAGAGCTATCCATGCAAATTGCTAGTCCTTGAGAAGGTATTCGTTGGAGAGGGTAAAGCCACTCCTTGATGCCACTACCTCCCAGGACCTTCTGTTTGTAAGTCTCCAGGAAAACTTGTTTTTTGCTGTAGAAGTTCTAGGAGCTGTGGCGACAGGTGTGAGCAGAGGGACAGGTCACATGGAGAAGCCAGAAGTCAGTCTCCACATGCCTCCCACGGAGGCTGCCATTACTCTGGTGCACTCTTCAGTTTATACTGAGGCATCTCTTTCACTTTGTTGGCCCCTAAACCTGATTTTTCAACCTTGGAGAAAGACTCAGGTTAACCACGTTCAAGTGCTGATAGACATCTGTGTTACTTGCTTTTCTCTCATTGCTGAGACAGAACACCGACACCCAGCATTAGAAGGAAGGGGTTTGTAGAGGTTTCAGTCCATAATCGGCTGGCTTCGAGGCAGGGTGGCAGAGGGACAGCGGTTCACGGTGACAGAAGCAGCAAAAAACAGCAAGGGTGGCGGGAGGGGTGTCCCCGAGGAGGAACAGTTGGTGCTGGCACACAGGTAGCCAAAGCGAGACCTTCACCGTGCCTTTCTGCCCCGTGTGTCCCATCCAGGCTACCAGGATTGGGGCGGGGCCACACTAATCCCTTAGGGGTTTAGTGGCCACACGCCCTTAACCCCAGCACCACAGTCCACCTTCAGCACCTGGGCCTGAATGCGGCTTTGGGGGACACCCAGACCCCAACCATAACAGTCACTGCACCATCCCAGTTCTGCCAGACCCACGTGCCCCTCCGCCGGGCAGGACCCTCAGATCCGCGAGCTGAGGCTGGGTAGTAGAGCCAGGCTGACCGCACGGCCGTCGCGCCCCGCCAGAGCTTGCCTGTTGTTTGCTGATTTTCTTTTTCTTTCTTTTTTTCAATTGGGTGAGATACAGATAACACAGAATTTACCGCCGTTTCCGTGTGCAGTTCCCGGGAACTGAGAGTACTCATGGTGTTACAGAGGACCCACTGCTATTTCCACACCAGCTGCACCATCCCACCAGACAGCTGTCACTGTGGGGCGGTAACCCCAGCCCTGGTGGCCTCTTCCGCTGTCTTTGTGAACTTGCCGTCCTGGCTGCTTGTCCTGTCGTCGTGGGCTTCATTCGTGTGACAGCTCTAGGGTCATCCCTGTGGCAGTGTCTGTGGGCCTTGCTTTGAGATGAAGACAGCGCCCGCTGCCGGTGTCCAAGTCTGAGACTCTGGACCGCACAGGGGGTGAGCGCCTCTGCTGGAGTGGGGAGGAGGTCCCCGGGAGTGCTCAGCCCCTGTCCTGGGCGTACGATGGCTCGCGAATTCCTTGGCAGGCAGTACTTGGACACAGGAGCACCAGTGAGGCACAGCCAGCGTCACCCCAGGGCTCCGTCAAACACCTCCCTGGGCAAAGGGCCCAACACCAACACGTGCAGGCCGCGGTCACCTTTGCAGCTCTTCTCCCTGCCTGTCCGCTCACCTGAGTCCTGTGGCAGACGAACCACACCAGCCTTGGGCACAGTCCTTCCTTCTCCTGGGTGTTACTGCTCAGGCTGCTGAGAGGCTGGCTTCAGAGTTTAACTCCCAAGGTGGAAGAGCTCTCACGGCTCATTTCCGGGCTAGGGTCAGACCTCTCATTACAACCCCAAGAACCCGCAGCCACCATTGAGTCAGGCCCATGGTGTAGCTCTGTGTGGCCCCAGCGGGTCACCCGCTCCTCCGCTGTCCCCACTCACTGGGCCCAGCCTTGAGGGTGGCTTCTGACACTGGTGGAAAAGCAAATCCATCTCGAGCACAGGAGGATGCTGGTGAAGGTCCTGTGTGACACAAGCTCCAAAGATTACACACGGTATTTTAAGAAACAGCAAACACACAGAAACGCTGTGACTCCCTGGACCGTCATTTGGATGGGTAACTCACAGTACGTCGTGTTTGTACCAGGATCCACACTCCTCGTGGCCACAGCTGATACTGGGAATGCTCTGAGCGGCAGCCGGGCACCTCCTGGAGTGGAGGTGGCGCTGGCAGCAGAGCTGCTGAAGCCTCCTGCACCCGAAGCTGGCATCCTGCTCTGTACCTCATCGGCGCCATTCTCAGGCGTCCGACTCACGGGGATGGGATGAGGTCAGAGCTTGGGTCCTTGTCGGTTCCGCGCTTGCTTTTCACTTTCTCAAGATGTAACAGGAGTGAAGATACAGGCGGTGGGCAGTGTCATCGGCTTCTGTGCCGCAGAGTCTGCCCCACGACCAGCAGTGTGACTGCTTTTTGCTGGGGAGCTGAAGGTCCCTAGCGGAGGAGGAGGAGGGGTGAGGCATAGAGGGGCAGCACCTGCGCCATCCTGGCTCCATCTCTGCTTCTCTCCTGGGCTGTGGACGTGGGTTGTGGTGAGAATTGAAGATAATCTTTACTGCAGTGCACATGCGGCGAGCGCTGTACCTCTGAGCTCCCCAGCTCCCAGACGCCTGGGGCCTGTGAGGTGCTCAGAGCAGTGCCAGCTTCACAGTAAGCACAGTCAGTCGGCCGCTGAGCCCAGGATCGGCAGACTGTGGGGTGCAGAAGCCACGCTGGGGCTTTGGCTGTGGATCCTTACCCTGGGCTAGTGATACGAGGTACTAGGCAGTGGCAGCAATCTGAAGCCCTCGGTCACACCAGGTTACCGGGGGAACCACTACTAATCTGCTGTGATCTGTGTACATTCGCATCGTTTTTCACTTAATGATATTTTCAGCTTACACTGGGTTTATTGGAAAGTAGCCTCATCATAAGTACAGGTGCATTTGTATGTGTTAAATATATTGACGTTAAGACATTTCCAGGGCCAGGGATTTAGCTCAGTGGTTCCGGCGCCTGCCTCGCAAGTGCAAAGGCTCGAGACCGTTCCTTAATTCAGCATCAGACACGAGGAAGGAAAGTCATCGGGTCTAGCAACCATTGGTCGATAGGAAATGAGACAGTGGCCATTCTTCGTGACCCTCCCCTTACCTGTTGGCTCGTCTGTTGCTTCGGATTTTGTACAAATCATTTGCGTTCATGTACAGTGTTTGAGCTTCAAAGTGTTCCTCTGAGCAAAAGGTAGAAACCTGAGCCATGCCGAGCAGGGCGGTTGCCGGTCACTTACCCTCTTCCCGTGTGTTCTTCCCCAGCCCAAGCTTCTGGCCAAGGAGCTGCTTGACCTCGTGGCGTCTCACTTCAACCTGAAGGAAAAGGAGTACTTCGGAATCGCGTTCACCGACGAGACGTAAGTGCCGCTGGGCTGGGACACGAGGACAGGGCGGGCCTGCAGCTGTGCTGTCTCCGCAGTGAGCAGGGAGGCAGCTGCGGGCCACGTGGGTCCCACGGTCTGGGACCTGTCCGGGTTCAGGGCCCAAATTCCGGAAGCCTGGAACGGCCAAGGGTGCAATTAGGGCGATGCTCGTGTTACAGAATCATCGGGTGAACTCACTCTTAGGATCAAGCAGGTTCACATTCAGACTGAAGTGTCTGGGGTTTTTCAGAAGTACATCTGAGATTGGTTTTCATTAAAGTGAAACAAACACTTCTGGAAAATGAAACAGGTCTCTCCAGAATTGGAGTAACAATAACAGGAAATGTATTTGATGATAAATTCAGGATGAAAAATATCTGAGCAGTTTCACTGTCTAAGCTGAAATAAGACACAGAAATCGGACACTCAGATCACTCATCTGATGGAAAGAATGTTTACTTCACTAGTCCTCCAGTTTGGCTCTGGAAAGTGCTGCACACTAGGAGGAAGGAATATCTGCTGAAATGTCAGTGTTGCTCTCGATGTACTGCTACCGAGAGAGAGCGGTGAGTGCCGCCCACTTTCCTAGCTGACAGTCAGCGGTCCTAAGCGGTCCTCTCCCCACACTTCTCGGTGCTCGGTGTTTATGTGCGCACACAAACCTCCTCCAGAGCTGTGCAAATGGTTTTCAAACAGGCGTCTCAGTCAGTCTGACTGGTGGGCCTAGCAGCCGGGACCCAGCAGCCTGGTGCTGTCACTGAGGCAGGGCCAGGTCCCACGCAAGAGCGGCCAGGCGCGTTGCGCACAGCTCCCCTGGGCCTCAGCGGGCTGCACATGGACAAGAGGACCAGCGCTCGAGCGCTCAGACGGAGACGCTGGGTAAGGGCTGCCAAGGAGCTGCATCGGCAAGCCGGACACACGGGCCCCTCAGTGCCGGCGTCGTGTGAGGAGCAGATGTCAGCGGCAGAGCCCATCTTCCTGGAGAGGAGCCAAGGTGCTCCGGTCCGGGGCCTGTGGGGAGCCAAGGCCAAGAGCGGCAGGGCGGTCGGCCCTTGTCCGGAGAGGTCAGTAAGGTCGGAGGAAAAGGTGGGTCTGTCGGGAAGGGAGTCGGGACGGGAGCCACAAACAAAGCTCTTTTAAGCAACTGAAGATCTGAACAATTACTTTCACAGGGGCAAAGTGTTCTAGCCTTTCTCTTGAGAAACACCGTGAGTCCCTCAAATTACTCTCCCTTCTGTTGCCACTGATTACAATGAAACTGTTTCCCGTTTTCCAAGTAAGTTTACTCAACAGAAAGACAGAACTCTCATCATCGGTGGGCTGGGGCTGCCCCTTGGGGTCAGCGAGTCAGGAAAGGAGGCTGCTGTCCTGGGCGGAGAGGATGGAGTCTGGCCGGCAGGGATCTGTGGGAAGTAGGAAGTTCGTGTCCTTCCTGAGAGATGAGGAGCAGGAGCAGAGGAGGTGTCCCCATGTCAGCGTGCCACGGCTGAGCACGCTGGACGGTCGGGAGCGAGGGTGTGTGGCTGTGATGGCGGGCAGGTGAGAAGAGCATGGGCTTCTCAGCGCCATGGGAGTGGCCATGGACAGAGGCTGGAGCTGGCACCCCCAAGGGGCACACGGGAGACCCCTGCCATTCCAGCCAGGGCCCTGGGATCTGAACTGCTCTCCTTTCCCTGGTAGGAAATGGATGAACAAAAACTGCCCCTGAGACTCTGTGAGTGTGAGCTGGCCTGGGTTGGTGACTCCTGTGTCAGAAAGTGCTGGCCTCCGTCTGTCCCCAGCCTCCTGTGTGCTGTGCGGTGCTAACATGGGGTGTGTATGTATTCACTGGCTTTCTGAGATAGTCTCGCTATGTAGTCCAGGCTGACTTTGAGCGCACTTCGAACTCCTGGCAATCCTCCTGCCTCAGCTTCCTCAGTGCGGGATTACGGATGTGTGCCACCACATTCGGCGTGAGAAATAAATTTACTTCCTTATTTGTGAAGTGCTGGGAACCAAGCTGAGGGTCTCGTGCTTGCTAGGCAAGCACTGTACCACTGAACTATGTCTTCATCCTAACATACATCCTTTCACTGGCCGTGTTTTCGAGCTGTGCGGGAGCTGTGCCCGTGTGCTCAGTGACAGGCGCCTACCACCCTGTGCTCTGGAATACAGTGCAGCTGAAGCTCTGCCCTGGTGACGGCCTGTGATCGACCACGTGGTGCTGCCTACTGCCCAGTGCAAATGGCCCAAGGTCTACCCTCGGACGGGGCTGCAGACCACGGAAGACGGCAGGCGTGAGGTCAGGAGCAGCAGCAGCACCGCGGTCCCTCAGAGCAGAGCTCCTGTGGGGACCAGGCTCTCGGCCACAGGCGTCTGTGCTTCTCCCAGTGCCGATGACGCCTCGGAAAAGTACATGAAAAAAACTCAGAGAAGAGATTGGAAGTTTCTCTGGGCGTCTCTCACCTATATGCTGTGCTCGTTAACAAAGAGTCTAAGTCCACAGTGAAAGACTTTTGTGCCTAAGAATGTTTAATGCTATTAGTAATCAACATTCTGGCAGCAGTAATACAATTCTCCCTTCTCTCTAATTTTTGAACATTTTTTTCTTTGTGGTACTTGGAAGGAAGTCTGGGCCTCGTGTACACCGCACAGTGCTCTGTTACTGCTCCATGTCTCCAGCCCTAGCTCTTAAAAATGTTTTATTTGAAATAATTGCACGTCCAGGAGTGTCAGAAGATAGAAAGAAGAATTCCCTTGTTTCCCCACGCGCCATCCCAGATACCAGCCTCTGACAGACCCGTCACATTTATCAGTCCTGGGAAATTACCTTGGGTACTAAATCAGCCAAACCTCGGCCTTTATTCAGATTTCACCTCCGTGGATGTATTTTTCTGCTTCAGGACTCAATCGCTTGAGTGCCCTACTTTCACTAACTCTGCCCCAGTGAAGTAACCGTGCTTGTGCCGTGAACAGGCCACTGGGGCAGTCTCAGGAGCAGAGGGACAGCCGGCCACGGCACGACGTTGGCTTACAGCACGCTAGTGCCCACACGCGAGGCCACAGTCATGGCTCTCCGTGGCTGTGCACCGGAAGCACTCCGGACGCATCCTAGAGTTCGTTCCTGGGACTCAGGCCTTACCTGGTCTGAGCCTTGAGATACGGCACAGCTCCAGCTGATTCTCACGTGCAGGAGGTGGAGACGCGCTCTGGGAGCGGAATGCTGGGGCCCACTTCCTCCACACCTCAGCTTCCTGAATGCTAGGATTAACGGCATGGACCACCACACCCAGTTTCCATGTTTTTAAAGTTTTTAAGGAATATTTAGAAACATGAGAGAGACAGCAACAACAACAAAGCCTCAGCCATGAGTGTGCCTTTTAAAAGCTGAGCACAGTTGTGACGCATCTGCACACATCAGTGAAGGCAATGAGAAGATCTTAACGTATTATTTTATCACCGACCCTTTGAGATCTATTAAGAAATGACACTCTTTCTTCCCACAAAGGTTTACTTAGAAAATTTTTGCTCAAATTTCAGGGTGGCCTTAGAAGCCCTGAAGCCAGCACCCTTGTCTCAGACCCACCAAGTGCTCTGCTAAGGTTTGTTTTCAGCACCCTGCAGAATGTCTCACTCAGCAGAACGGCTGACTGGCGCTGTTTGCAAAGTTGATCAGTCTGAGTGTGACGCACAAGCACGGCCTGGCCCGCCACGCTCCTGCGCCTGCCAGGACACAACCAAGGTGGGCGCTGGCGAAGCATCCGCAGAGGGCCCAGGGGACGAGCGTGCCCAGCGACAAACTTGTCTGCCACTCAGACGTAACAGCAGCACACGCAAGTCTCTAGCTGTGGGAGAAACAAGGAGCGCTAGCGGCCCTGGGATTGTAATGTACTGAGGAATCAGCCTGAGGTTTCCATTCATGAACTCCGGTCAGCGGCGGCGGGGCAAGAGGAGTCTGGGCCACAGCCTCCTTCCGGGTCGTCCCGGGCTCGAGCAACCATTGCTACCCTGAGAGGAGCAAGCAGCACCAGGCAGGAAGGGCACCGACAGTGCCTTGTATTCAGTGGTCTGGCGAGGCGTGCACAGAACGCTTCCTCCTTGGCCTTTGCTGCTCAGGGGACCTGGCAGTGAGGAGCCCCGGCCTGGGCCAGGTGAGCAGAATGAACTCTGTGGGCAGGACTTCTGCGTCAAGGGCAGGCACAGGGCCTACCCCATGGCATTCGCTGCAAGTGCAAGGCTGGATCCGTACACATGATTTATTTAGCATCCTGTTAACCCCTGGACATCCAGAAAGACTTGGTCTTTGACCTTTGTTGGGCTTGCGCTTGTGTTTAGGGGGTAATTAGTAAGACAGCGTGGGAGGTGTTACAAAGAGAGTTACACAGAGGGACAGACGATTACGCCATAGATAAACAGTTGAAGTCAGAAATTCCAATAGGAGCAAATAGCTGGGGTTCGTCGATCTGGTCTCCATAGTGCATGCCCTAGCTCGGTTTTCTGTGCCATCGAGGGCTTCTAGCTAACCAGTGTTCCCAGGCTGTCCGTGAAAAGCGAGTATACCTCAAAAGGAACACTGAGGAACTGCCATCCCCACCCTAAGGTCTCCCTGCCCCACCCCATAGAAAAGCCCCCGAAAGGCACATGTGCGGCCCTCCCCACATCACAAGAAGCTACACGTAAGACAAACGCATGACACCTCACCCTCAGTAGCCCCAGGCAAAGCGTCCCCAGGCCCTAGGCCGTCTCTGAGGAAGGTGCCAACACTCAGATCAAAAATCTATTGCATATGTGTAGCAGTTAAAAGCAACTTTTAAAATAAATGCATCCAGTTTCCTTTGCATGGAAACAATTGCTTAGTTATTACTGACACCGTAGTTTGACACAGTGTAACCGTAAACCAAAGGAGCGTTTCTCCCTCAGCTTTAGAGATAGGTATCCATGAGGTAATAAAAAAGTACTCTGTCCACAGGGTTATCTTCTATTAATTTCTCTACATTTTTATTTTTTGGCCTGGTTGGCAAATGTGAATTCTCAAATGGAAGGTCAGTGGAAATCATGAAAGCCAAGCTATCAGGCATCTCTTAATTAAACTGTACCCAGGAAATGCTTGTGTATCTACCTCAAAAAATGGGTTTGAGAGCTGGGAATAGTGGAGCATGCCTGTGATGCCAGCAGTCTGGGAGGCTGAGGCAGAAAGATCTCAAGTTGGAGTTTAGCCTGGGCAATTTAGCAACTCAGCAAGACTCAGAAAGGAGGGGAGAAGGGAGGGAGGGAGGGCGTGGGACTGGAGAGGTGGCTCAGTGTGAAGGCCGCGGGTTCAGTCCCTAGGACTTCAGACCAAATCAAATGAGCAGAGAGTGATTTCAACAAGTCTCACTGCAGCCAAAACCAGGCCTCACGATTATGATCTCCACATTACTCTCTAAACCATCTCTTAGCTTTTGCCCGAATAATGGGTGCTCGCCCTGAGGGACCTTTGGGTGAATCGCTTGTCCCTTCAGCCTGTCCTTTGTCAGCAGCCTGAAATGGAGAGGCTATTCCATGGTCTCGGGATGGGGGTGTCCTTCTCCTGAGGGCCCGTAGACTGCGTGTGAGGAGGTCACTTTTCCATGGATACTGAGCCAGGCAGATGCGGCAGGCCATTCCTCACAGAATCCAAGTGAAGAGTTGAAGCAGAAAGTGGGAAAAGGAGACTCGTTATTCCTTACAGACTATTTGATTTAGGGTGCTTCTCACCCCTTATTCTCTTTGCTTCCTGACCATTTTTTTACATTAATTACTCATCACCTAATTACTTCGCAAAGACAAGCGCAATATACACTCAGGAACAAAGGGATTTCCAGTGAAACGAATCCGTTACTAATGCAGGGAGTGGCGTGGTCGGGAGCTGGAATGCACTCATTCTCTGCCACGTGGTAGAAGGGCAGCAGTGAGCTACCCACCGGTGTATCAGGGGACAACTGTGCCTCGTCCCTTCAGGCGAGGGGTCCTGAGGTTCTCCAGCTTGTGAATGACACCCCAGGGACCCCAGGTTTGTCCCAGCAGCCTGTGTGGTTGACAATGCTGTCCCTTAGCTGGGGGTGAGGTTTTCTCGGTCCCAGGCCTCTGACTGCTCTTGAGGACGTGTGTGGAACATTGTGTTTCTCAGGTCTTCCTCCTTCTTTGACGTTGCAGGCCAAGGAAAGGTCAATGCTTTTGTACCATTGTGGTCTGTGGATGATTCAAAGATTTCTCATGTGATGATCATGAAAAGGCTATTCCCACTGGGCCCTTAATTAAGCAATCTTCTGAGACCAAAGGTAAAAATTTAAATGTGCGTGATCATGGGTGGATTGCTCTGGTAGGTAGTAATTCATTCACTGAGAAAATACTTCTCTTTTAGAGTCCCTGATATTTGCCAGGCCCTGGCTGTATTCTGAGGGAGTTTTTTTGTTGTTGATTTTTTTTAAATGTTAAAAACTTCTAACTTATTTGGAGCTACAGGTTATATTTTTCACATAATTATACAAGGTTGAGCTAAATGCCCTGTAGATGACACAATCCAAAAACTCCAGAGGAATTTGAAAGGAATCCTAGATTTAACCAACGTGTTATTTAGCCTTCTGTCTTTGTGACAAAATATCTGGGACCAAGAGCTTGAAAGGAGGAAGGGTTTATTTCTGCTCATGATTTCGGAGCTTTCAGCCTATGGCCACCTGGCCCTGTTTCTTTGAACCAGTGTTGAGGCTGCACATCATGGCAGTAACACACAGTAGAGCAAGGCGCTCACCCCATGGCAGCCAGGAAGGAAAGACAGGAAGGACTGGGATCCAGCATCCCCTTTGAGGGCAGCCCTGTGACTGCAGCGACTCGCATTAGGCCCCGCCTCTTAAAGGTTCCACCACCTCCCAGTCACACCACAGACTGGTGTAGAGCATGATTCTTTGAAGGACCTTTAGTACCCAGACGTCCGCAGCAATCAGTCTGAAAGGAAGACTTGAACTCGGCCTTGAACTGTGGCTGAGCATCAGACCAAAGAGAATGGGGCGAACTCTGAGCGGGCGAAACGCCTTGAGTCAGGTGGTATGAGAGGGCAGACGGCGCACTTAAGGAGGCTCAGCAGAGAGAGAAGCCCTGAGAGCCGGGGTTCTTCAGAGGCAGGAGGGAGTGGCTGGGGCTCATTACCCTTTGATGGTTTGCCTGGCACCTTCCAGTGATCGGCTGCATGTTTTGCTCTTATGAGATAGGTTTGGAGACATTTTCAGATGGGAGAAGATTGCCAGGGGCAGTGAGCATCTACGCAGAGACAGTCCCACAGCTGGGGTGCAGCCCCAGAGGGGGCCAGGGAGGAGCCTCAGTCCAGCCTTCACATGGTGTGGGAAGGGCGGCCTGGAGACGTCCTGCAGCGGACTCAAGAGGGCTTTCAGAGGAGGGAGGCGTCCTAGGCAGGGGAGCAGAGTGAGCTATGGCCCAGGCGGTCCCTGCAGGGTCCCTGGCCTTCCAGCTTTGACGCTGTGCCCGGCCTGTTTCCTGATCCAGACCCTAGTTGAACAGTTTCACTCACCTCTGATGGTCTGGTCATTTTACTTAGAGCAACTTCTGTGTATTTTTTTACCCTTCCTGTATTCAGAGCAAGGTGATTTTAAAATAAAACCATGAACAGGAGGTGTTTTTGCAACTAGAGATTCTTAGGAAGTGAAGAGGCCCGGGCTCCTCGGTGGTGCTGTTCTGAGGAGATCCATGGCTACCCCGTGGTGTGGGCTTAGCTGAGAGAGTTCGCACTGTGGTTGTTCTGTTTTCTTGTGCAGAAGGTGTAATTTGAACAATGGCTCAGACAGGTGAAAGCCTCTGGTGTGTGATCGAAGCCAGCAGTTCTGTGCAGTGGTGCAGACGGATGTTGTCTCTGCTGCCCACAGAACACAAGCCAGCCTTCCGCACAGGCACACATGCCGATGACAGGACTGCGTCCTCCAGGACGATCAGCTGAGGCAGGGTAACGAGAGGCGGGAAGGGCAGCTCACAGCTGTTCTGCAGTTCTGCCTCATTCCAGGTGGACAGTGTGCCTCCAGGGCTGTCCACCTCTCCCTGCTACTCACACAACTCTCAGAGGCTGGGTTTCTTCCCACCTCAGGACCTTTGCACATGCTTCTCCCTCTGCCAGGAGGATGGTTCCCCTTTCTCTTGTCCAAGTAAACCACTCTTCCAGTCTCAGCCCAAACACCAGGAAGTGCTCCTGGCCCCACACTTGGTCGGCTCCACTGGTGCTCTCACGGCTCAAGGTCCCAGTGCTAGTAGCACGTATGCAGCTAACTATGGGAAGAGTGGTTGAGTGTCGGTCTCTGGAAGAACATGAGCTCTGGGGCTGCAGGAAGGGGCGCGAGGGCTTCCACACTGCTGCATGTCCAGATGCAGGTCAGTGTTCACGAGAAAGAGTGGGAGAAGAAACGCAGAAGTAACACTGCCTCCCACCCGGCCGTGGGGTTGTTTCCAGCTCGGGACTCTTCCCGTGTCTCTGAAGTGTGTGCTCACACACCCTACTACGTACGCAGCGACGGGGAAGTGTCTGAACGTTTGCTAAGAGTCTGGTTTGGACGCAGGCTTTCGTCTCGGGGTGAGCACCAGTGGGGAGAACGGCTGAGGGAGATGGTGGGCATGAGTTTGATTCTGTGAGAAACCGTCCAGGGTTGGCTTTTCACCCCCTGTGCTTGCAGGAGGGTGCTGTACGCGTGGTTCATGTGCTTCTAAAGAGAATTTTGAGTCCCCTGGATAAAAAGGTGGCCAGGATGGTGTGAGGGTCGCTTTAGGACAGGAAGAAAGTTCCTAGTACCTTCTCACTTTGGTGCCGTCCAGGAAAGCAGTGGCGGGTCTCAGCCCTTGACCTGCGAACCCTTGACTCTGGATCTCCTGCAGATGCTCTGCTCCCTGTGATTCCTTTGGCTTCTCTAGTACCAGTACCGGGAAGGTAGCCGTGAGGAAGGTCCGGGTGCCTGGTCCAGCATGGACTTCATCACACACTGCTGCAGAATCCAAAATGCTCACCCATTTGTCCCTGTCTTCCGCAGGGGACACTTAAACTGGCTGCAGCTAGATCGAAGAGTGCTGGAGCACGACTTCCCGAAAAAGTCAGGGCCTGTGGTTCTGTACTTTTGCGTCAGGTACGTACACCTAGGGTCCGCACTGGCTCCTGCTGCTTCTCTTTGTCCGCAGAGCCTCTGGGGGAAGTGACTTAAAGGGGAGGGAGACCGTGTGCGTCTTGGCTCCATACAGGGGATAAGGGCTGTGGCAGACACAGGTGTGAGTGTGCAAGGCATGCGTGTGTTTGCCCTCTCGCACAAGCATGTGCATGCGGAATGAAGATGGCACCTTGTTTGGGGACTTGGAGAGAGCCAGGTGTCTCGAGCTGCACACTCCCTGGAACTCTTCAGGTGCTGGTTAGAGCTCAAAAAGAGACAAAAGAGCTCAGTTTCCTCTTTCTCCCACCAGTGCTGCTTGAGTCCCTTGGAATTTGTATGTTTTATCCCACCTGGGTCAGTGAATTTCCTAGCAAGGGAGGAGAAAGCACACAGCAGTGAGAACAGTGGTCATTCTCTGCTCGTGCACGTGTTCTGGGAAATTTTGTTTCATGATCGCAAAGGAAACTACACAGCGCTTCTAACAGGCTTTGGGGCACACAGGGCCAATCCCATCTGTTGGCGAAAGGGTGTGGGAAGCAGGAGCAGTGCAAAGTGGCCCAGTCAGAGGCAGCCTCCGGCACCCCCTGCACCCCCTGCACCCCCTGCACCCCCTCACTCGGCCTGTGGCACCTTCGGGCCGCCTTGTCCACAGCCCAGATTGCGGTAGAACTGCCAAGGTACTGGGGATTGTGCTTTTCAGTTTGCTTTGTTTTTGCAGAGCCTGGGATGGAAGTGGCCTTGAATACACAAGGCAAATGCTCTACTGCCGAGCCGCACCCCGGCCTTAGAGGATCCACAGCCCATTGCGGTAGAACTGCCAAGGTACTGGGGATTGTGCTTTTCAGTTTGCTTTGTTTTTGCAGAGCCTGGGATGGAAGTGGCCTTGAATACACAAGGCAAATGCTCTACTGCCGAGCCGCACCCCGGCCTTAGAGGGCCCTGTCACTCCAGGCACGGCTTCTGCCCCCTTAAAAGTGCTCACAGAAACCCCTGAGCCTGCCGCCCATTGCTCCCTGCCGAGCGGGGTCAGCTGCAGTTTTAGACTCTCCGTCCCAGGTCCGCAGATGGCAGCTGAGGCATCTAAATCAGAGGCCCGGGTCTGTCATCAGGCGGGCCGTCCATCCCCACCTCAGCCGGCAGAGTCCGTCCACACTCGCATCTAATGCCTTTGTGACCTGTGACACATCTGAGCTAATCTCAGCTGCTTCCATTACTGAGGGGAGCGATTTTAATGCCACATTCTCTGTAATGGTGCCTACCGTCTCTCAGTTTAGTGGAAAAGTAACCATGTAAAGCAGACTGTGTTCCGCAGGGAGGCACAGCTGGCGCTGGCTGGGCTCCTGCAGTGGACTGGAAGCCGTTCTCTAACCCGCAGAGGGCTGGCTGCATGGCACCTCCCTCCTTCCTGTGTGGTTTTGTTTTGTTTTTTGTTTTTTGAGACAAGGTCTCACTCTGTTGTTGAGACTGACCTAGAACTATGTAGCCCAGGCTGGTCTCGAACTCATAGCAATCCTCCTGCCTCAGCCTCCCAAGTGCTGGGATTACAGGCGTGCGCCACCACACATGGCTTGTGTGTGTTTTAGTTTAATAACTGAGATTTATTGGCTGTGCTGAGGATTAGTTCACGGACATCTGAACCCGCACATTGTTTTTAGCATAAGTTCTGAAAACCTAAAAGGTCGTGTGTTGTGATTCTCTCCTAAGCAGCTCTTCCAGTTCATATCTGGAGGCAAACTTTTCGGTGCCCTCAATGTTGATAAACTGTTATCTGAATCCTGCCAGCTCACCGTCTGGACCACATGTCAAGTTTCGGCCTTTCACAGCACATCAACAAGTTACTAGGAAACAACTAGCACAAGTAGTCACAGAGACTCTGCAAGTTACTTTTTTTTAGACAGGGCCTCACTAAATTACCCAAGCTGGCCTCACCTTGCGATCCTCCTGCCTCAGCCTCCTACACTGCTGGGATTACAGAGAGGGAAGGCACACAGCTCTGACAGGGCAGTGGTCAAGAAGCCCTGCTGAAAGCAACACAAGAATAGAATGTAAAGGGTCAAGGCCTGTGAAATGCAGGACGTGCTTTATGGTGCAGGGTCTGAAATGACCTCCGCTTCCAGAATGGGAAGCCTACCTCAAGACCAGGAGGCTTCCTGCCTGTTTTCTGTGTGTAACAAAAAAAATAAATAAATAAACAACCAGCAATGGATTTCCTCTCCTTAAGAACATAACTTACACTTAAAAATGGGATGAGGTGGGCTTGTCCCCTCCGTGGGAAAAAAATGTTTCTTTTTTGGTGCCTTTTGCATCATTAGCCAAGGAGAGGCGAACTCTTTCACAGATGTGAGGTGGGCTGAGGTGTAGCTCAGCACGAGAGCCCAGGTTCAAGTTTCAAAAATCTGTAAGAGCGTGGGCCAAGTAACCTTCTCCATTCGACGGACAGGAAACACAGAGCCGAGTGTGAAAGAACTCAAGCTTGGGCTGGGGCCTCCACTCCACACTTGCAGAGGGTCCGAGGCTGACGCTGTGCTACGGGACACTGCCGGAGCAGAGGGTGGGAGCTCGCTGACCTGGGCCCCGCAACTCTCCGGTGAGGCCTCTGGGCATGATCATAGGAGGCTCCGGGTCTGAGGAAAAGCCAGGCAGGGCAGAACTGTCCGCCACTCCGCTTCTGTCCCTACGGTGGCCCCCAGCCCAGGGCAGTGAGTTCCCAGTCCCCTGGGTGCCCGACAGGGCGGGAGTGCCTGAGGAAAAGTGTGCCCCTGTGATACAGCTGGATGTGTGCGCTCGGTACAGAGAGCAAGGGCAGAGCTAATGACGAAAGGGCGGGCTCTGACCCCACACTGTAGGCGTTCGGCCAGTGTAGGCTTTCCTGGAAGAAGGGGCGCATTTCCAGCCCGGCGGTGAGGGTGACTGCTCCTCAGCGTTCGGGACTGGGGAGGGAGCTCGCAGTCAGCGCACTGCCTGAAGGTTCGGTCTTCAGCACCACACACGCACACGTGCGCACACACAGAATGATCGCTCTCTTCACAGCAGGGCCTTAAGCAGGTCTTGTTAGCTCTCATCGAAGATAAAGGAGTGGGGGCCTGTGGAGGCCACGCACATTCCCCGGGCGTTGCTGGAGCGGAGATGAAATCTCATCCATTCGGCTGGATCTAACGGCACCCTCGCCCCTCACCTCTTGCCCGCCAAGCGTCTCCACAAGTGGGAGGCCATGCCCTGGCAACCTGCCCACCCCTGACTGCACCGGCCCTGCCAGCGTCCGTCCCCGAGGCCGTGCTGGGGACAGGTGCACAGCAGCACCGAACGGACACCAACCAGCACAGCACCCCCTGCAAGGCACCGCCATCCCGCCCCGAAGCTCGGCTGGGCCTGGCTCCGTGAGGAGGTGCAAAGTGGAAAAGTCCCCGTGGCAAAGCAGTTCTCCAGGGCTGTAGGTGCCGCCCACCATTTCCTGCCGCTGCGGACACCTGCAGGGAGATCTGCCCCATCTCCCTTCCTCACCAACGGGAAAATTCCCTGATCGCCGCTCCTTGTCAGCACCCTGACCTGCTGGGCCAGCGGCACCAGCCCACGGCCGGCCCGACTGCAGGGTGCTGGGGCCTTCTGGAACTGCACTGCACAGGCTTGCTGCGGTCCGGGGCTCGGGGTGCAGTCCGGGCGCCGCTCGCAGAGCCCAGCACAGAGCAGGAGACACCGCAGGCGGGTCCCAGCTCATCAGTCCTGCCTGCCGCACCGTGTTGCGCCCTTCCAGCCATCCCTGCCCCTCGCAGCCCGTCACATGCACGCGCGCGCACGCACCTCACCCTTACACAAGTGCGGGTGATGGGGACCCTGTGGACCAGCCCCACTTCTGCCGTCAGGGCCCCCAGCCAGTGCTGCCCACTCAGGCTCTGCACCCCTGCAGGATGCAGACGGACCCAAAGCCTCAGCTTCGAGGAGGTGCTGCGCTCCGTGGCCTCTCCCCTCTGCTGCACACGCACACGCACACGGCAGCCCCGGGCGAGCGTGGCCTCCCCTTCGGGCCGGCCTCACCCCTTCCTTCCCCTCGCTCGCCCCAGCGCAATTCTTCTCCCCTCCGCGGCTGCCGCTCTGACTTCACACCCGGTACCCTGCTCGGCCCTGACTTCCAGGCCCTCTTCACAGCCACGCACCTGCATCGCCTGAGCCCATGGGCTCCGCTTCTGCCCGACTCTCTGCGTTCCCGCTGCTTCTGTGGCTGGCGCCACCCCCTGTGCAGCCCGGAGCCGGAGACCTGCGGGTCCACCTGGACCCCACCCACCCCGTCCCCCGCACCTGT